TAGCAAAGTACCCTAGGGGTTGATACTGGGGCAGTCCTCTTCAATGTCCTCATTAATGACCTAGACAATGGAACAGAGAGCACCCTCAGCAAGCCTGTAGAATATGCAAAACCATGAAGAGTAATTGATACACCGGGTGGTTTTGCTGCCATTCAGAGGGACCTTGACAGGTTGGAGAAACAGGGAGAGAAAGGAACCTCATGAAGTTCAACAAAAGTAAATGCCAAATTCTGCACTTGTGGAAGAATAACCCCATGCACCAGTAGAGGCTGGGGGCTAACAAGCTGGAAAACAGCTTTGCAGAGAAGGATCTGGTGGTCCTGGTGACCAGTAAGTTGACCATAAAGTAGCAATGTGCTATTACAGCAGAGAAGGCCTACAGCATCCTGGGCTGCGTTAGGCAGACCGTTGCCAGTAGGGTGAGGGAGGTGATCCTTCCCCTCTACTCAGCACTGGTGAGGCCACATCTGCAGTGCAGGGTCCAGTCCAGGGCTCCCCAGTAAAAGAGAGACACGGACATACTGAATCGAGTCCAGCAAAGCGCCATAAAGATAACTAAGGGACTCGGGTGTCTGACATAGGAGGAGAGGCTGAGAGATCTGAGACTGCTTCGCCTGGAGAAGAGAAGGTTTGGGTGGATCTTACCAATGTGTAATCTTACACAAAGCGTACCTGATTGATAAAGAAGGCGGAGCCAGACTCTTCTGTGTAGTATCAAGGGAGAGGACAAGACGCAACGGGCACTAATCAAAATATGCAAAATTTCACTTAGAAATAGCAAAAACCTTCATTGTGAGGGTGCTCAAATACTGGAACAACTTGTCCAGGGAGGCTGTGCAGTCTCCGTCCTTGGAGATGTTCAAAACCAGAGTGAACACAGTCCAGAGCAACCTGCTTTATGTGACCCTGCTCTGAGCAGGGGGGTTGGACCGGATGATCTCCTGGTCTCAACTATTCTGTGATTCTATCTCTTAGGAGAAGGATTCATCAGCCTCGAGTTCCAAGGTCATTGACACCAGCTTTCTCATTTTGGTATGAACGTATTAAGAATTGTGCAAAAAGAAATTTTAATTTTGTACTTTACAAAATCAACCTTTTAAATTGGCCCGTGCTTTTTTTTTTTTTGCTCTTAAAAATGAGGCACACACATAATAGCTCAAAGAGTTAATATTAGAACCTAATTTTAGAGCTCTCCAAAAAGTACATATAAGCTCTGACACAATAAATCAGCTCTAATGAGACTTGCTTCTGATCTCAAGAATTGGGTCAACTAATTTATGAATTTTTTGTTAAAAAGACCCAAACCCACAAAGTGTCACTTCACAATCAGGATGATTCTGAGCTTTAAGTGAATGTGTGTCAGAACATTCCATTCTGATGGCTCTGAGGAAATTTGTTATCTCCCAAATTCCTTTCTTTTGGGTATATAAGTAAAATCTCATTCCATAACTCAGCTACTCCATGGTACTCATATTCTGTAGGAAATGCTGTCTATTTCGTCACGCCACATGAAATTTTCCTTCCCTCTCTGTTTAAAAAGCTGCTATCCTGATCCAGAACACAGCAATCATTTAGAGATTTCCTATATTACTATTATTAAATCAGTTTTCAGCAACAACTAGTAAGTTATGTTTCTTTCAGAAGATTCCTTAAAAAGGTTTCTAAAGATGGTGTTATGGTCCATTGGGCAAAAGTATGAAACAATCTAAAAGCTAGAAGCTAAAGCCAGAACAATCAGACAAATGATAGCATGGTATTTTTGGCTGGAGGGGGTTATTTAAAGCCAAAACAAGTTTCTTAGTGGCAGAAAAGGTTCCCTGTCTTGAATAGTTCTAAATAAATGACCGAGTGGCTTTCTGGGATAAGTTGTAGATATAATGAAGTAATCTTTAGGAGCATAAATTAGCAATTTAATGTGGTGGAGGACCTCTTTCTTATACACGTTTGCTTTGGGGCTCATACTTCTGGTATAATCTCAAGAATGAAGCGTTTTTCCTTCTGGTGAAGGACATGCACCAGAGTGCTAACCAGATCACCCCAATTGCAATGTGGACGCAAGATCTGGCATTAATTACATTACCAGAAAAGACAGTTGTGAACATATGGTCCAGGAACCATAACGGATCACAGCAAATCAAATCCTCTTTGTTCTCTCTTTGTGAGGTGCACTTAGTGGGTAAAATGTTATAGCCTGCTTGGTCATGGAACAGAGGTCACCTGGATTCTCTGTGTTGTGCTCTGTGATAGCCCTCACAGGCAGGTTTCCTGAAGGGGAAGGGGTATGGCATTTTCTTGTTTTCCTTTGACAGTTAATATCTTTATGATGATTCAAAATGTCATGCAAGTTTCATTCGTTTCCCATGCAGCCTTTTAGCAATTTCTGTACATCAGCAGTAATATATGGTGTATGTCATCAGTAAGGTGCTGTTCTATTACTTATTATATTCAATTTGGTAAATACGACTCACTGAGTCATCAGCAACAGCTCAGGATTTACAGTGCTTCTTATGACAGTAGATGTTTTTTTCTGAGCCATCACAGCAACACTATTTTCATCTCATGGGGGATTATAAAAAGCTTCCTCTAAGTTACCTCACTACTGTCCATTATTTGCAAAGCAGACTTTCTGAAGCCTTTCAAGCCCAACCTCTCTAGTAAGGGTCTATCCTATTATGGATTTAAAAGTTGTTATTTCCTTGCCTGAATTTCAGTCGTTCCTCCACAAGCAAAGTTAACAAAGCACTTTCCACAAATCTTTCTCATGTGGCATCAGCAAATGATTTAACACACTTGTTTGGAACAGATTATGCAGAATAGATGTTTTTGTGCACACTTCCTTTTGCTTCTCAGTGGTATTGTAGCATGTCACTTCTCTTAATCATCTTCAGTCTGTCTGGAATGACTCTTCAGACAATATAGTTACTGAAGATATCTGTGACTGGAATATGGAAAAGAGTATAACCTTTTCCAAGAATCTCGCTAATTTGGGTTTATTCTGAAGTAATGGTATTTTTGTTAGTCTCTGCTTTGTCATTTACTCAGAAGGATACACTTTTCAGTTAATTTGCACTGTGCTATTCACCAAATATGTTAGTTCCAGTCTTGCTATAATCATATTTTTCTTTTTTATTTTCTTGACATAGTTTGAACACTCTTTAATATGCTCCTCCTGAGGATCCAGAGCCATAGTACAAGTTGTGGCATCGTTTACATCTGCTAGCATATCTGTTATTTTCCTGTGGAACACTTCTGGTTCACTTGAGATACCACAGGAAATGTTAATACCCACTGGCAGTAAAAAATATATGCCAAAATCCTCTCAGTGTTTCCAAAAGATGGAAGGCGAGATTCTGCCATCACCTGAACAAAAGTTAATGAGCTCAGTCACATAATGAAGCACAACATTCTCCCTAGGGAGTGGAAAAAGTTTATGGACTATGTGAGTCCCTGGCTGATGAATTCAGGCAGTAGCTTCCCCCTTGTCCCGTAAGAAGCATTATGATATATGAAATGTGACAAAGGCACATCAGTGCATCTGCACAAACACAGATATCCCCCAACAACAGCTGGATGAGTCTCACAAGAAGTTCGATGTAAGTTTGGATAGAAGAGCAATCAGGAAATGCAGAGGACCCTGCAGATATGTAATACATCTATTGAAGAAAATGTAGAAGTACTAGGTGAGGAATCTGCATGAGATGAAGTGTTCTAAAACCATACGTGGCATTGACAACAGCAAGACCTGCTATGTCATCAGCATATTTGAAAATCAGGCCACTTACCTTAGTATCTAAAGTCTGGACGTCTGTTATTTAAAATCTCGTCCCTACGCTGCAACGTGTACATTAATATTGTTTGTTCTCTTGCGGTTTCTAGTGTGTTCATTATTAAAACCAGATCTACATCTACTGAAAATGGTGTGAACTGAAGGACCACAGCTTTATTGAGTTATAGCAAATGAGAATATGACCAATAGAATTAAAGTAGAATAAAGCAGTACCACATTTTTCCCGTTCACATCCCTGACAGTACATAACTTTCCTTTCCTGGCTTTTTTTTTTTTTTAAACAGAATAGCTCTTGCCGTTCTCCTTCTAATTCACCAGTGTTATTTGTTAATTATGTTACGCTAAGGTTATGGCTTCACCGCTGACCTTATCAGTGACTGGCATCTTCGTTAATGCACGGGACAACCATACCTGTCCTCACCAGTGTTGTCCTCTCTCAGATGTACTGATATGATTTCTGGGGACATTTCCTATGCCAATATGCTGAACCATAGTGAGCTATGAAAGGAATTGGTCTGTTCTGGAAATACTGGGAAATGCTGGAGACCCTTAGCATTTGCTGAATTTAATGCATCCACATTAATGGGGACGTATTACCAGTCTTACCGAAACAGCAACACTCAGACTGATCTGAGGGATTCTTTGATTGATAAATTTGTTTGTGCCGCAGAAGCAAGGTTAGAAAGAGTACTAGTGAAAGAGCACAAGCTGTGAAGGCATAACCTAGAGGAAAGAAGCCTGTAAAAGGGTTGCAGATGATTAGACAAATTTTTTTATGCAAACTCGTGACAAACTGCATTCCAGCCTAGAAACCCCATGATGCCATTGCTTGAGCTGTCTTGAAACCCTCTGAGTTGCACTGGCCATACATATTCATAAGCGGTATATCTGGGAATTTCCTTTCCACTTTTGCCTGCTACTGGGTTGTCACTTGGGTGGTAGTTTGTCATCCAGGCTGAAT